TCTTCGAAAATATTTCTATTTTCATCATGCATTAATTTCCTATCCCAAAATGAGCCTATATAAACTCTATTAACTTCTGGTGTATTTATTACAATTCCCAAGGACCACATCAACGATCCATACACCCTCATCAGCTGCTGCGTGTTAATTGTATCTGCCTTATTTAAAATAATTCGTATCTTCGAATCCTGTCCCTTTATCGCTTGTATGCATCTTCTGAACTCGTCTGAAATATCCAATTTATGTGCATCAAATATGAGTAGTATTAAATCTACTCTCTGGGCAAACCAGTATATGACCTTTTCGAAGTCGTATCCCCTACTGATTTGCTTTATTCCACTTAGAACACCAGGTGTGTCAATTATCGTTAGTGACTTCAACACTTCGCTTGCCGTGTTGGAACACTCCAATTTGGAGAGGAAGCTATTCCCAAAACTTTCCAACTGGGAAAATGGTTTTGTTATATCACTGACAAGGGCATTTCCAGGAATTAGCTGCTCCTTCTCATTATACATGACTGCTACGAATTTATCCGTCGTCGGCTCTGGTCCTATTCTCATTCCACAATACTCCTTCTCTATGAGGTGCTTTATAAATGTCGTCTTCCCTGTTGAATACTGACCAAGCAGCAGGATCATCGGCTTGGACAGAAAATCACCGCTCGTTAAAAGCGGCTTGTAAAAATGGTAGTAGTTGAACTCATTCTCCAATTCCAGAATGTATGTTTTGTACAGGGAGTACAGCCCCTCCAACACGTTATCGTAGACGACCGTTTCTTCCCCGGTCCTGTAGAGTAGTTTTTTCATTCTCCACACTTTTAAAAGGGTGTTTTGACGGCGGCAGGGGGGGGGGGCTTTCTTCGTGGCTCTTGCCAAAATAGCGCAAACTCCGGAGTTTGCTATAATATATATATGTCACGTGTTTTGCCTATGGCGAGCGCCACACTGTAGCCGAGCTACAAAAAAGTCGAACCGAATTACTGAGTGGCAAGCTCGCTCCTCGGGGGCGTTCAAGTCATAATCGCCCCTTTGGCAGGTGTCTCTAGCGTGGCGGCGTTCTGTATCGCACTTTCACGCATCGAGAGGACACTCGAATAACGTTATTGTCCTATTCCTATTCCTCTCCACACTTCCTAACGCACCGATCCTGTCTCAACTATTTTGCTTTACTTTGTTTTCTTATTTTTTTCGTAAAGCAAAATGTACTACTCTGTGCTGCTGTGTCACCGTCTCACAGAGTGCTCCTCGTCATTTTGGCGCACAACTGAGGAGGGGTCACTATTTCAAAGTTACAAATGGAGAAAAAAAAAACAAAATGGCGAAACTAAAACTCGATATGTTTAGATAATATGTAAGGGGTATATGTGGGGGTTGCAACCTGCCTCGTTGCGGGCATTCAAACTTCGCAAATGGCGAAAACTGCGTGAGGCCTTGGCTAAAAAAGAGCTGCTTGAACAAATTGATACAAATAAGCGGGATGGGACGTAAATAATATATACAATACTGTACATGTAAACATTGAAAATGCTGCGTACCAACGTGCGCGGGTAACTGCTTGCCTCTACAAGTTCGATCGACGCTTCACAAAGGTACGTCACTTCAAATCGAAAGTGCACTCTTTTTCCTCTTCAAAAATATATTTTGCTGCTTAATTTGTCGAAGTTGGTCCAAATTAGGGAAATTCAAAAAAAAAAAAAAAAAAAAAAAAAAAAAAAATTGCCACTATAATGCATGCGCAGTACATGGTGCTATTTTTTGTACTACATAAATTGGAATACATTTTTCATGTTGAAGGAACTATGTAAGTTTACCCATTACTGCAAAAATAAATTGCCTCGCGCGTCAACGTTTCAGCTTTTTAAATTTTGGCGCAATGCCTTCTTCTTTCGCTAAATGGCACGGCCATACGTATTTTACCCCCGCGGCAGGATGGTATTAAACCGCCCGCCCGGAAAAGCAGCTAAATGGAAGTTCTCTGTATTGAAATATGCTCACTTTAGTTGCCAAAAAAAAAAAAAAAAAAAAAAAAAAAAAAAAA